TTACAGCGCCTAACACAAGTACAAATCATGTAGTATACTTTCTTTAGTAAGAAACTACTAGTAATTAGGGAACATTTTGCGGACTCCCAAAAGTAGTCCTCCAATACAGGTTGACTGGACTTCATGCTCTAGTAAGGTAGACATTTACGTTAAATCGTTAAGACAAATGTTCTGAATTCTGTGTTTTCAAAATAAGACAGAAAACGCCTAGTTTATTTTGACAATATTTGTTTTTACAAACGAATTTCAATCATCCCCAGGTTATTCTACAGACCCTAAATTGTGTGACATGTAAATATTTATGGAATCATTTTTAATTAAAACAGTACATCTGCGGTAATGATCCTTTTTTTATAGATTAAACCGTGCATTGACTTCATATAAAGAGCATCTTACTGTGTCAATATATGAAATAATCGGTATGTGATATCACTTTAATGTTACATTTATTGACCATGTGTACATTTTTTCTGGATAAAGAATATAAAAGATAATAAAATCCCCCCTCTGGTTATGTAGATCTTTTTGATAGAATACAAACTTTATCAACGTTCTAAAAATGATACATAGATATAAGTGACATAGTTAGAACCGAACTTACCTGGTGAACCCGTGTTGGTCTTTGATGGAGCTGTGGAAGAGATACACAATAATATATAATGTAAATTAACCAAGAATGAAATTACCTCTCAACCTCAAACTGCTGCGTATTTATATCATATGCTATTAATGTAATAAAAGGAAGAATGCTAGCGAAACATTCCCAATGCATGGGCAGTTTAAAATATGACCAAAATATACCTGTATGATAAACGCCAAGTTGGTATAATATGTCTTTTAACAATTGTTCCAAATCGAAGGGTTAATGGCAGTGATTGGAAATTAATTTTAGATGCTTTTCCTGACAGAGGTTGGGCAACAGTTGGATGGCCATTCAGTAAATTACAACAGGATAGTATGCACAAGATAAGTCGCTGAATACGTAAACGAACGAACGGAAGGGACACTCACGCGAGTCGATGGTAAAGATTCTCGTAAATATTCTCAAATATCACTGATGAACAATCACAAAAGTCGCTGATTGATCAAGTTCAAGTTCTTTATTACATAGATTCTTTCGAGTCAATAGTTTCAAAAGTGAAATATTTACAGTATTTGACAATATTTACATACAATACAATACCAATACTCTACAAACAGTACGGATAGTGTCATCAATTAGGATACAAAAATCTCTTACATTTGTAGGTTTTATATATTTGGACAAGTTTGCCACTTCTTTTGTGTCATTTTCATTAAATAATTCTATCATTTTAAATATAACTGGCTTTTTCATATACATGTAGTTATTTTTCAACTCACCTTAGCCAGTGGTGTATACTCACACAATTTATTTTGTCACTACAGAGTAGAAAGTGAGCTAATGGTGAATACTCGCATGCAGTATTAATGAATACTCACATAATTTGCCGGCAAATACTGACACATATCATGCAATAGTAGTCTAAGACAACGGTGAGTTAACATATCGCTAATATTTACCTGTAGTTATATGGGTCATTGATAAATACTCACACGAATCGCTCGTGAAAACTAACAACCCAAGTGCCACTCCGATGATGACGAGCACGGCAACCATAGCAACGACCACACTAATGATAAGGGGCAAGTTCTTTCTTGACCTTCGGGACGATCCGCTGCTGGAGTCCTTGATCCGCTCATCCGACCTTGACCTCCAGGTACCAAACATGTTAGGGAAAGTGTCATGGCGAAAATTGTCCTGATGTTTCAAGGGATCCCACGTTTTGAAAGAGGTTCCTTTTAAGGTGCCTCCATAACCGTTATAGTCGGGTGTATGGTAGCTCGGGTACTGGGGTCCACTGTAAGCGTTGTCATACGTGTAATCGTAGTCGTCGGGATCTTCATGTCGGGATCGCCTCTCCTAAAATCAAACAATGCATAGTTAAATCTATTGTTATCGATACCTTTATTTATGGTTTTGAAGCTCAACTTAGAGTCAAATAAGAAAAGATCTTTGCTAACCAAAGTAAAATACCGCCGCTGGTTGCGAAATAAAGAATGGCGTAAACAAAATCCTGTTACCCATGACACCGACAATGAAAGGTGGTAGATCCCTACAAACTACAAGTTTCTTTTCCTTTCTTGTGGTGTTGTCCAAACTTACCTTGAACGTTAGATGAGTAATTTCCTCCTCCATGTGTATTCATAAACTGCTGACTGAACGAAATTGTGATATTACAATTCTAGCAGAGCTTAGACTACCATTGAATTACATATAGAGTTCCCGCGTTCGCTTCACGAAAACTATAATGTTTACCCTGATCATAACGAATGTGATCAAACCATTTGTGGTAATGAAGGCCTTGCGATTTTTGTTAAGAAGGAATACCGTTTCTGCATTGACACTATAAACGTGCCTCAATCAAGCAGAGTGTCTGGAATACAGATAAATCGAGGTAACGCCACGCCGGTTTACGTGTTCGGTGCATATATGCCTAGTGATAATGACTTGCCCGCGTACAGAGAGTCATTAGATTGCCTTATTGACATATCCCATTTTTACTCTGACCTGGGTGATGTGGTCTTTGCCGGTGACTGTGTAAAGAGCTGCACCGTGTTTGGAACGGCAGACACTGACATCGCGTCTGACCACCTCGTAGTTGAATGTTCATTATCGCTACCAGAGACAACCGAGCCAAGCTACGGGTATGTACCTCCTCCCCATTTGGACTGGAGGAGATGTGACGTTCACCAACTTATTCAGTACCAACTGGCTGTAGATGCAACGCTGTCTCAACCGTGACTTTAAAATTGATTCGACTTCTGACTTGGACCGCTTTTGCTCCCTACTTACGACTCGTGTATGATGTGTGCCCGTGAACGCATACCAACGGTGAAGTTTAACCCCAAGTTAAAACCGTACTGGACACATGCTGTTACGGAGCCGCATAAAGTTGCACGCTCTCTTCGAAACAGATGGATATCTGAAGGACGACCTAGGGGGATGGGCCACCCTACATACAAAGGGTATAAGGAGGGAAAACGGCACTTCCGTAAAACTCAACGCGCTGCCTTCGACGACTATCAGCATAAGCTACAATCCGAACAGAACGACGCTGCCGACTGCAAAAACCGACTTTTTTGCCGCGCACTTAGACGGTTTAATGGACGTAAAAGGAAGTTATGTAATACCCTCAAATTTGACGGTGAGACACTGCGCAGTATTTTAACCAGGTTTACAGCGCGCAGACCAATGATATAGACCTGGTATCAATGCTAACGAGGATTACCCACCATTCCTTGATTGCGATACAATGGACTACGACTTCTTGTTTGAAGATGTTGAAATTTGTATCCGACAAACCAAATTGGGAAAGGCCCCAGTCATAGATGGCCTTCAGAATGAACACCTCCGATATGGTGGTCGCGAACTGATACTCGGTCTTGTTAAGCTGTTTAACCACATCAAACGGTACGCTCGTATCCCTACGATATGGAAGAATGGTCTAATCATACCCATCCACAAAGGCGGGAACAAATCCCAGTGTGACCCTGGCAACTATAGACCAATAGCACTTCTATATGTAACCTATAAGCTATTCGAAAAGGTCGTGAATAACCGGATTCAAACGCGTTTGGCATTCTCTGTTGGTGTGTTTCCAAACCAACAACAGAATGGTTTTTGCATGCATCTCGGTTGTACCACTGCTTCATTTGCTTTACAAGAAACTGTATTTTCGAACATGGAACAGCAAAGTAATGTTAACATAGCCTTTCTAGACAGGCAAAAGGCGTTCGACACAGTGTGGCATCAAGGTCTGATGTTTAAACTGGGCTTGAGGGTCAGCTATACAGAACTATATATAATCCCTACAATGACGTGTTAAGTGCGGTGACGTATGATGGTATGACGTCAGAATGGTTCACTGTTCAACAAGGTGAGGTGTTGTCAGGTTTTCTCTACCAAGTGTTTATTGACAGCCTACTTTGCACCCTAGAAAAGAGCAACCAAGGAGCTAGAATCGTGTCTATACCGGTAGGTAATCCTACTCTCGCTGATGATGTTGCCTTAATTGATATTACACCAGCCTCGCTACAAAATATGTTAAATATATGTCACACCTACAGCACGACATGGCAGTATAGTTTCAATAGTTCCAAATGGTCTATTATCGTGATAGCCAGATTCCTTCCAAGGGAACCCTCGTTTTCCTGGTCAATAGGAACCAATCCTATTCAAGTTGCATTATCATATCTACACCTCGGCGTCCCAGTTTCCAATATGATGAACAATGGCGAACGGGTTGCTAAAGCATGTGAAAAAGCAAGAAGAGTCATCCATGCTGTTCTTGGAATTAATGCAAAGTCGACTTCCATGAATGCTTTAGTGAAAGTTAATCTATACAGGAACGTCGTCATTCCAGCAATTCCATTCGGATGCGAACATTGGTCGCAAATCAACCAGACGGACATCCGTAATTTAAATACGTTCCAGCATTACGCTGCCAAACTTATCCTAAACGTAAGGAAAAGGACACGGCCAGACATTGCAGAAAGCATATTGGGGATCCAGCGAATAGGCGCCACTATCGACCAACAGAAACTCATCTTCCTAGCACAACTGATTTACCTAGATTGTAGATACATTATAAAAAGAATGTTCTTAGTCCGTCTATATAACTACACTATTGGCGAGGAAGACGGAAATACAACACAACAACGTGGTTTCATCCCGGATATAGTTGCAATACTTCACAAATACAACCTATGTAAGATCCTATCTCGCGAGAGTTCAAATTCCCAGGAAAAGGTGAGTGGAAACGTGTCGCATGGAGAGCCATTAGCCGTTTTTAAAATATTGCCTTAAGAACGAGGCTATCCAGCGATGATGACTTTATTAGATTAAGACGAATTAATTCGACGTACCATCTCTATGTTCTGTGGGCTGCTTGCACATGTACGAAGCATATTAGACAAGTTTACTTCCTGTGTAATGTTTTGACCTGTGTTAATTCACATCAAATCCGACGATGTACCTGTTGTCAGATAGACGTCCAAGACACGACTCGCCATATATGTGTGTCGTGTCAATCAAGCAGGCCACTGAAAAACCGCTTTTTGACTAATGCTATGCTTGAGTATGGGCCACAGGTTTACAGTAATCTAAATGACATGGAAGACGAGGACTTCCTGTGTGCACATTTTGGTGCAGAGTCCCTAGTCCCAGACTTGCCAGACCACCCCACCAGAGACGATTTCAGACTTAAGTGTGCAGCCTTCATAAGGGAAGCTATGCACATCTATTATAGCAATAACTGAGCAGGCACTGCTACTCATCTATTTGCTGAACCACAATTGTGTTTTCTTACCAATAATATATAAAGTATATAACATATATTGAACTGTGATGACATTTGATGATCATTCGAAATCGTATGGTCTGATAACTAATTATTGATGAATTAGTATGTGTAAATACTAGCTGAATATTGGTGGTAGCGCATCACAGTGATATGTGCGTGCGTGCGTGTGTGAGGAAGGGTGCGTTCGAGTGTGTGCGAGGATGTGTGCGTGCGTTTGTGTGGTGTGTGTGCTTTAAAAGTGTGTGAGTGAGTACGTGTATGTGTGTGTGTGTGTGAGGAAGGGCGCGTTTGTGTGTGTGTGTGATGATGTTTGAGTGCGTTTGTGAGATGTGTGTGCTGAAGTGTGTGAGGGAGTGTGCGTGCGTGTGTGAGGAAGTGTTCGTGCTCATATGTGTGATGATTTGTGCGTGCGTAAGTCTGATGATTGGTGTGTGTGTGCTCGTGTGTGTATGTGCAAGGAAGTATGTGAGCGTGTATGAATATGCGTGCGTGTGTGTGTTAGTGCGTGTGCGAGGATGCATGTGTGCGTGCGTGAGAGCGTGCGTGCGTGCGTGTGTGTGTTCATGTGGGAGGGAGAGAATGTGTGTGAATGTTCACCTGAGATTTATATTCACTGAACTGGACCAAGGAAATTGTTTTCCTCAGTGTGTACTGTTATTGTAAATGTGTATATATATAAATCATGTGTTTCAATGTTTACATTATATGTTGATTGATGATGATGATGATAATGATGATGATGATGATGATGATGATGATGATGATGAGTATGATGATGATGAGTATGATGATAAGTCGGTAATCTACGCTTCGTCCATACACATGATTACTAAAGTTAACTTCTAGTGTGTAGGTGGGTTATCTTCGCTACATACATCTATGGACTTGCTAAATTAACTTTAAACTTCTATTATGTAAGTCGGTAATCTACGCTTCGTGAATACACCTGATTACCAAAGTTAACTTCTAGTGTGTCTGTTTTTACTCGCTATATAGATAGTCATTTTATGGTGTTTCCCTTGAAATCTCTGGTTGGTCTGTTTTCAGTTAATTAATCGAGTGAGTGTTATGCTATGGGGTGCATCGGCATGCTTCCCACACAGACAAGCTAATAAACTATCACAAAAATAGTACACGTATTGTCATCACATATAATTACAGCGTACCCTGACACAGACTGTGGTAACACGCCATCGCGTGATTAAGCCTGTTCATTTGACGCCGAGTCAAACAACTGCCGCCCAGTATTGTTAAAAATCACAGTGAAGGAAAAGAAACCGTAAACAAATCCCCTGTTTACCCTGATGTCTTTTGATTTGTCTTTTTACACGCTCTATGTAGGGCGTCGTCTTCGGTAGAATGAGCAACGCTTGTTTGCTATAAACAGACGAAATAAGAGTACACGCACCCATGCATAGAGTTAGTTACACGATCATGTATATTCGTGATGTTCCAGTCACGAACTGAACTTAGCCAGCATCATACAGGTGGTGACTGTATTTAACAAAATATCTTCTCCAGGGAAATGAACGTAATACACACCTGTGATGGACCCTGT